CAGCGCCCCCTGCCGCCCGCGCCGCCGCACCGCGCGCGGCCGCGCCGCGCGGAGAGGAAGGGGCGGGAACGAGGGGAAGCGGCCCCGCCCCGGCGCGCGCGGCACGCGGGAAAACGTCTTTCGCGCGGAAACGGCCGCGCGTGCGCCGCGTGCCCACAAACACCGCCCGGGGGGGGGGGAGGGGGGGCGACTGTCGCGACAGAGCCGGCGGGGACACAGGCACCGCGGAGGGCGTGTCTGTCACGACAAAGCGGGGCAGGGGCACAGACTCGGGCCCAGTGAAGCGGCGGGGACAAGGGCACGGCGGGGGGAAGGGGGTCGTGACTGTCGCGACAGAACAGGGGCGAGGGCCCAGCCCGGCCGGAGCGCCTCCCCAGCCCGCGGCGCTGCCTCGGCCGGCGCGCCCCGCGGCGCCAGGGCGGTGGCAGTGATGTGCCCGGGGCCGAGCGGGGCCGGCGCTCTCCGCCATGGCGGGGGCGGGCGCGGAGGGCGCGGCACGGCGGGGACCGAGCCCGGGCAGCCACCGCCCTTCGCCCGCTCCTGCCCGGAGGGGCTTTCCTGCAGCCGCTGCCGGGGTTCCCATGGAGACGCCCCGCGTCCTCTGACGAGTGCCCTCTTGTCGGCGACAGTTGCCATCGCGATTGGTGCCGCCCTCCTCGCAGCGCTCCCGAGCTCGGTCGCTTTGCAGGCGACTGTCCCCTCCTGCACACCCCGCACGCTCCGCTGGCTGCCAGGGGTGCAGATTTTTGGGAGAGGATCCAAAGCAGTGAGTGAGGTATCGCTCATCTCGACCTGTCATCTGCTGTCATGGACCGAAGGTGCCGTCTCGTGCTTCACCCCATTGTAATGTACCTCTTAAAACCTTTCTTACATCTAACTGAGCTCTTTTCCTGGTTTCCTGTGCTGCAGGGGACTATATTTCAGTGTTCGTGTATTCTCTGTTCTTTCCCCTGTGCCTGGAATTGCTATCTGAAGGGGTTTGTTCAGATAAGGGTTTTTGGAATGGGAAGTTTGCAGGCAAAGTGGCTGTTCTCCCAAAATCACTTAAAGCAAGCGTTGCTGCTGCAGAGGTAGGAGCTGCAGCAGGCAACAGGCATGAATGGAGAAATTAGAAAATAGTGGTTTTTCGTGGAAATGGCCGCAAATGGAGCCCGTATTCAGCAAGATAATAGAGAAAGCAAGGGGAATTAAAGGTGTATCCCATCAAATGAGGTTGCTTCAGTGAGCTAGCACAAATAGAGGTCGTTTTTTGGGTAGCAAAATATTATCAGAAATGTACTAACAACTCTGTGGGACTTCAGTGTAGGGTTTGTATTTGTATTCAGTGAAGGTTGTACTGGCTCTTCCTTCAGGCACTGCTGCTGGATGTGACTCAATGAATTTGAAGACAGGGGGTACTGGTTTCTTGGTTTGTGTATAATGCTTGCTCTTGTGCTTAAGTGCTAAAAACTCCTGTCATGTAGTTGCTTCTTCATTTTCTTAAATACCTTTTGCTATTCATTAAATTTTAATAAAGATTTGAGTTTCTTGGAATGTATTTTTAATTAAATTGATTTATGTCAATCTGGCTAAAAAGATGAAGGTACTCATGCACCACCTAAGTGTAGATCCCTTGGCATGTGCAGTTGCCTGAAGTATGAAACACCTAAAGAATCTCCAGGTGGTTTAATGGTGCTGAAACAGGACTTCAGGAGATTTTCCTGCACCTGATAAGGAATCAAAAGAAAACCCCTTATGCTGAGAAGTCAGTGCACACGTGTGCTTAGAGAAGGTGGCACGAGTTCAGTCAGTTCTGTGGGTTTCCAGGAGTGGGTGGGTCTTTCCTTTGTCTGATGTTCAGGGAGAATTGTCAGTCTGTAGTTACTCTGTAGAGATTGCTCGCAGCCCTCTGGTAGTTTCAGCCTGATCTGGTCAGGATTGGGGGATTTTCCACAGAAGAGGCAAAGGGTTCCTGTGGAGCCTGTCTTTCAGAGCGCTGGGGTAGCTGACTTATTCCCAGCTCTGTGCCTGTGGCTGGAATTGCCACATCTGTGAGTCTTTCATAATAACACTTCAGTAGGCTGACTGATTTTAACCAATCTGGCAGAAGATGACAGTATTTTTTTGGTGAGTTTATTCAAGATTGGTGGTTAGAATCAGCAGACCTCAAAGCCCTCATTCCTTCAGGCACAGGAGGAGAGTTCAGGCTCCCAGCCCTGCAGTCAGGGGGCAGCTAATCACCTATTTCTACCTGGCTAACCAGCACTTGCAGTGGTTGAGGGAAGGAAGGAGGGGAGCATTCAGTTTTGTTCTTCTAAAAGAAATCATGGTTTGTATTCTATCCATGATCGGTGCCATTTACTTAATTTACAGTGGTTATTTGTTCCCCAGGGAAAACAGGGTTCGCGCTTTGCAGTCAGTGATTTCAACGAGCTGGTAATTTAAATGGGTGTCCCAGGCTGAATTGGGAATGTTTGTTGTATAACTTGACAATTTTGTGCTTCATCTTCAGCCTTGTATTACACTTGATTCAAAATCACCTTGTATTTCTAATAGAAAACGCAAATAAGCCATGTTTAGTTTCCAGATATGAAGGAAAAATAAAAAAGTTCATTTAATTTCCACAAAAGGCATGGGCAGAAAGAGAAGCAGCAAGTTGTCTGTATAGGCAGTGCTGATTTCTGTCTGTTTTAAATTTGTGTCAGGGACACACATAATGGATCTGGGATATGCCCTAATCTCAGTCTGCATAGAAACTTTCCCTGGTTAAGAAAAGTGAGGTCACCAAAGACTACAAACAAATGGACTGAGAAAGGGTTGGCATCACTTTTATCATACATTCAGTATTTAGTTGGGAAAATGACATTTTAGGCTAAGCATTCCTGTTATTTTTTTGTTCTTTATTACTTCCCATCTCCTGCCTTTCACACGTGTTTGCCCTTCCACTGTGCAGACGCCCAGCCGCTCTGGTTCCCAGCTGAGCAGCTCTGTGCAGAACAGCCATTTTGAGCTACACGCTCACCATCTATTGTTTTCCTCCAGAGAGATCCCTGAATACATTGCACAGGTCCAGTGCCACATTTGAAACTGTTATGTTGAATTTGCAACTATTTGTTGGAAGAGAATGTGATCTAAAGCCAGGAACCAAGAAAGTTACCGTTGTATGCTCATGGTAACAAATGAGCTGTCTTGGTTTTGTTTTCAGGAACAGTTGCAGCGTTTACTCAGCTGCTTCTTAACGAAATGAATGAGTTCACCCCGTGGTTTACTATCAATGGAATAATAATTCCTGTTGTCCACTTTTGTCTTCTTTTCCTGCCGTTTATTCCAGTATGTTGTGCCTTAAAGCAAGAAAGTCTTAATTTTTTTAAGGCTGCAAGGCAAAACCGTGGATTGTAACGCAATGAAAATGCTAGGTGGGAAAAGCCGTGCAGGTGAAAATCACTGCCTTCCTGGGCTCACTCAGTGCGGTTTGCATTTGCATGCGAAGATTCGGAAATGAGCAGTTTGACTGAAGGAAAAGTGAAGGTAGCGGGTGAGCCTGGGGCACATTTCTGGCAGGCGCCGGTAAATGTCGATGTGCTGTTTGAAGTGCCCGCTAGCACGGCTGACAGCCAGCTCTGTGTGCTCTCCCTGGCGTTCATCTGCTCGTTGCCGAGTTCCTAGCGCAGGAGCTGCCCATGGACACCGCGGGCTGCTCCCACCGCGCGGGGCTGCTGGCTGTGCTCTGGCCCCGGCTCTGCAGCAGAAAACGCCAACAGCAGCGCTGGGCGAGGCCTCCTGACACAGCGGGACTCGAGGGGGTTCTCAGCCCCTGGTGCTTGTGCAGGTCCAAACTGGTGCTGCTGCTTCCCCCAGAGCTGGGACTGGTGCCCTGCGAAGAGAGCGGGGAGTCGGCTACAGCTCAGCTGGGGTGTAGCAGGGGTTAATGAACACTCAGCCCGCGAGGGAAAAGGCAGAATGTCCCTTTCTCATGTAAATTAATTCGCCACAGCCGCAGGCAGTGCTTGGCTGTCACAGATCACTGGCACAGAAAACGCCAGGGCTGAACCCGGCCGCGGTATTTTCGGTGTTTGTGAGGAGCTACTGCCGGCACTTCACCATTGCCCTTAGACCTGCGCTCTCCCTGGCAATCTGCTGCCCTGCCCTTCAGCCCATTGTCCAGCGGCTGTGGTCTTGCACCACCAGGGCCCTCGGGAACGCTGCTGTCTCCCTGGGGACAAGGAGTGTCTGCGGCCATCCTGCGGCGCCAGCGCGGAGGCCAAGCTGCTGCTGCCGCTGTCGGAGCCCGGCTCCGGAGGGGGAGCTCCGGGCAGGGAGGATGGCTCCTCCTGCGCTCCCTCTCCTCTGCAGCCCGTGGGGCAGCACAGCAGGCATGGGAGGCTGCATTGGCTCGCTGTCGAGCTGTAGGAACTTATTGCTCACAAGCCACCACTTGTTCTTTGGATCAGCTCCCTCAGTAATTCCGGGAGATGGCTGAGGAGTGGTTTTGACATGATGCCACTGATTGCTTTCTCTCCATCTAAAGTGGTTTGGGGTTTGAGCCTCCCTTGGCTTTTACTTTCTGTACCGAGATGGTTGTAACCTTCACTGCTGGTACCTGAGAGCAAGTGTTGTTTGTGTCTAGATAGCCCATCGAAGACGTAGATGATGAAGCGGTGTTTTCCCCCTCTGCCTTGGAATCGAATGTCTCTGTCACAGGTAAGGTCTGCACAGGTTTTATTTACTGGGGTGAAGAGAAGGCAGGGAAGGTTTCCTTGCTCCTGCTACCTCTTCACTTGGAAGGCTCTGCACAGATGGTGTGAGAACAGTCATTTCATACCCCTGCCTTTATTAAACAACTGCCCCACCCCGCAGGAATCACAGGCACTGTTTGTGTAGTGGGAAATGGCTCTTCCCGAGGAGACAGAAGGGTTTAACACTGTCACAGTTGTGTTCAAATATGTGTTGTTATCCACATGCAAACTGCTGACTTGCCTGGGGGTGCTCCCTATTTCCCTGGGTTACTCAGTCATCTCCTCCAGCCAAATTTCTCCTGTAATCGTCTAACACTGGCAAGCCATTAGCAATAATGCATAACCACAGGGCAAAAAGCTTAGCAAGAGAACTTTCTTATTAGAATATACTAGAATTCATTAGGTATACCATGCATAATGACAAAATATGTTATTCTCAAAAATTAGTGACTAAAGTGAAGTGCAGTGGTTGATTTTTAAGGAGATCCAAATGGCCCAGCCATCAAAGGTATTTAGCAGTAACTCAGGGGAAAAATAAAGCAAAACCAAGAACAGGCTACTAGTACTTGGATTAGGTTGATAAAAATAGCTTGTAATCTATTACAAGCTTACACTTACATCCATGAATCTCTTACTATTCATTACTAAACAACAATGTATCTCCACGTTTTTTCTTAAGACCAGGGCATTTCTCTAAGGAAATGGATACGTCTTCCCAAAAATACCCAGTCAAAAAGCGAGTGAAAATTCATCCCAACACAGTAACAGTGAAATACACCTCTCATTATCCCCAGCCAGGAGAAGAGGGATGTGAGGATGTTAATGAAGATACTGGAGTATTTATGGAGGATAATCCTAAGAGAAGACTACTGAATAATGGGAAGAAGAGAGAAAATACTTTTTTTGGTACAATAGACACCAAGCCAGCACAGCTGCCAAAACCTGATGAGGCTGGACAATCCCAGCACTTTGCTGAAGGCAATGTACTGCATTCCAGGAAAACGTGGGCAGTCCTTTTTGGGTCTGCCGTGGCTCACGGATGTGTGGCTCTGATCACAAGATTAATTTCTGACCGTTCCAAAGTGCCATCTCTGGAGCTGATTTTCATCCGCTCAGTCCTGCAGGTGCTGTCCCTCATTGCTGTGTGCTACCACCACGAGCCTCCCTTCGGCCCCAAAGGCTACAGGCTCCGGCTGTTCCTCTATGGGGTGTGCAATGTCATCTCCATCACCTGTGCCTACACCTCCTTCTCCATAGTGCCCCCCAGCAATGGGACCATCATGTGGAGGGCCACCACCACGGTGTTCAGTGCCATTCTGGCTTTTTTACTCATAGATGAAGGAATGGCTTATATAGACGTACTCACTGTCATGGGCAGCGTGTTCGGGGTTTGTCTGGTCATGATCCCCAACATTGTTAAGGAGGAAAACTCTTTGCTGAGCACCTGGAAGGAAGCTTTTGGCTATACCATGACCGTGATGGCTGGTCTGACCACTGCCCTCTCCATGATAATCTACAGGTCCATCAAAGACAACATCAGCATGTGGACAGCGCTGTTCACTTTCAGCTGGACGGGAACAGTGTGGGGACTGTCCACCATGTTCCTGCTCCAAGAGCCAATCGTCCCACTGGATGGGGAAACCTGGAGCTATCTCCTTGCCATCTGCCTGTGCTCCACTGCAGCCTTCCTGGGGGTCTACCACGCCCTGGGCAAGTTCCACCCTGCTCTGGTGAGCACTGTGCAGCACCTGGAGATCGTCATCGCCATGGTCCTGCAGCTCCTTGTGCTGCACAGCTTCCCAGGCACTTGTGATCTGGTGGGGGCAGTGCTTATTTTGGTGAGTGTTTTTTTCCTTGCATGTTACAAGCTTTCCTGGAAGGAATTAAGAAGGCAAGATTATCAGGAGATTGTGGATTTGTCCAGTAAATGAATGTCGGATTTCCATGTCTGATTCTGTGACCATGGGGAAGTGACTCCTTCCAGCTCCTGTGTCTGAGCCTGGTGGCCAGGCCATTTCACTTCTCTCTACCATTTCACTTCTCAGCTGATGTAGCAATGTTGGTATTTCCAGGCTCCCGTGCCAGGTGGATTTGTTCTGCTGCACACAAGCATTTTGTCACACCCAAAAGAGTAGCACAGCCAGCACAGGCTGGCCCATTGAAATAAGGGCCAAGCTCTTCTTGACCTTCTCTGGATAAAGCAATACAGAGGGACTCAAAAGTGACTCTCATTCATGTGTGCTGTGGTAGTAGGAAGATGAGCCATTAAAACTGTCAAACCAAATTGTCATTTCCTCTGTAATGCTTCTTAAGCTTTGGCTGTCATATTCTAAATGGAGCAATGCTAAATTTCTGTGGCTAAAACTTGCATTTCCTGTGCATATAAAGAAGTCAGTAAAGCTTTTTGTGCTTTGTGGCTGAATTTCTGGCTGAAACAATGCAGGAAGCCCACACGTCCCACGGGGGAAAGTGAGCCTCAAAAGCTGGATTTCCAGTTGTGCCACAGCTGTGACAGGTCCCCAGGAACCGTAAGGTCCGTGACAGATAAAAGATCTAGCCCTGAAGCAGACCAAAATCCCTTCAACAGAACCATATTTTCTAAAGGAGGTTTTGAGTATTATCCAAGGGAGCATAAAAAATGGAGAAATAAAAGAATGCATTTGAGATGGAGGTGTGAGCAGCATGGCAGTACTGACCAGCCTGGCAGCATCAGTGACTGTCACTCAGGGTGCCTGGGTCCTAAAACTCCAGGAAGGCATTGGATGCCCCAGGGTTTTATGAGCCCAAATAGTATTCCTGGCCATTCTAATGTGTGGCTGTAAAGAGAAAGGCCAGCACCTGTGTCCATGGGCTCTGTGCCAACCAGCCCTGCAGACACCTCCCACTGCAGCTGCCTGTGCCTCGGTTCTGTGCCATGAGCATTTTCTGAGGGAAAAGGCATCACTCAGGTGGCTCCAACCAGTCCAGCTTCCCCCATAGAAAATACATTTTACTTGTGAAAAGAAGCAGCAATTTATTTTATTCCTATGCATACTTAGGGAGATCAAGTTCCCTGACATCAGCCAGCCCAGATGGCAACGCTCCTGATCCGTGTGACACTTGTGTCCTCCAGTGCTGGTGATGCCAGAGACCCCCTGGGCCACACAGGGGTCCCTCAGGTGCTGGCACAGTCACAGCTGCCCCGACAACTGTTTCCTTGAGAAGCAAGTGGAGTTGGCAACAGGAGCTCTGCCCCCTGTAGGAAGGACAGAATAAAAAGGGAGCAGGTAAAGCAAAGCAGTGCTGGGAAAGCTCTGCCCAGCCAGAAATCCCTTTCACAGCTTAGGGCAGAGCAGTTCCCAGCCCAGAATCCTGCTGTGCTTCTATCAACTCCTCATTTCACTCTGGGGCAGATGGTCTTTCTTCCTCTGGCTGCTCAGGCAGGGGGAAAGCTTCCTTCGTGGAAAGCAACCGGGTCATGAGGCTCCTCCTTCCCTGGCTTCCACGCCTGTCCCTCTGCAGGGACTCGAGCTCTGAGGCTCAGCTGTGCCAACACATACATGTGCAGGCACCCAGCTAGGTACATCTGGCGAGCCAGGGGCACTGGACAGCGGGACTCTGCAGCAGCCTCCACTGTGCAGCAGGGCTGAGTCTTGCCCCAGCCCCAAAGCAGCCGAGCCCCCTCCTCAGAACCTCCCCCTGCCACCCCGGAGCCCAGGCTGGCACAGGCAGCTCCCAAGAACCTGACTGGTGTCGTGGAGCAGTTCAGGGCTCTATGGAGCCTGGTCCCGCTCCAGCAGCTCCACAGCCTGCAGGAGGTCCTGCACAGCCCTGTCCACATCTGCCCGTGTGGTGCCACGGCCCACGCTCAGCCGCAGCGCCTTCTGCGCCACCTCCGGGGGAATCCCGCAGCTCAGCAGCACCGGGGAGGGCCTGGAACACAGCCAGCAGGAGGAGCAGGTTGGACTCCAAGGCCGAGGAAGCCCCACACAGCAGGGAGCCTCACCGAGCCACAGGAGCAATCACATTTGCAGACGCACTCCAGGGTACCTGTCCCCTGCACAGCTCCCTTTGCTTTCCAGGGGCACCCAATCCCACTAGGCTTGTTGCCCTGTGGGAGATCTGGCTCTTCTAAGAAGAGCCTGTTCCATGTCCCTGTGGGTTGGCAGCTCTGCCACATCCAGAGGGCATTGCTCCAGACCAGGCCAAAAGCACCCACAGTCCCCAAATCCCCTAAAGGAGCCATCTGGAGACCCAAGCAGGGCTGGAACAGGTGAGCCAGGCACAAAAAGACACAAGGCAGGCTCTCTTCTGGTAGTGCCAGGAGTTCAAAAGTACTTCCAAGCTCAGCTGGGTAACCAAAGCTGGGAGGGACAAACTCCTTCCAAGCAGCAATGGAGCATTCCAGCTGTCTCCTGCAAAAATCCCCTTCACAGCCCTTCAGCTCCTCTGGAAGGAGGAGCTCTGTACCCTCTTCGTCCCAGGTGATGCTACCCAAGCCACCCACTGTCCCTGTCCTGTTTCCATCCCTCCCAACTCTTGTCCTCTGGGAAGACACCCAGGGGCTGGAAAAGCTGTCTGCTCACCGATCCCCCTTCTCAGAGTGGCAGGCAGCCCCGACGCTGGCGAGGAGCACCTTGCAGTGAGCCAGCACCCTTCGCCCTGCAGCACAAGCAACACAAGAACAGCTCTCCAGGGGCTACTCCTGCCTCGCTTCCCTGCCTCAGCCACGCCAAGTGCCCGCCAGTCTCAGCCACAGGCGCTGTGAGGGGCAGGTGCTCGGCTCTGTGCAACAATCAGGGGACAGCAGTAGGATAAGAGCTACCTTGAAGGCCTGGGCCCAGGATGGAGAAATTACAGGTGTTGCAGAGTCGCTTGGAGCCCTTAAAGTGACTGTTGAAGTGAATCCTCTGCTTCCCAAAGGAGGCCTGGAGAAATCAGAGGGCTGTGCACCTCTCTGGGTTTCCAAGCAGCTCTGTCCTTATGAGGGGGTGGGCAGGGCCAGAGGGACATATCCACCCTGCTCCAGGCCCCACACCCTGCAGCCCGAGACTGTGGGAAGGGACCAGATGTGCTCACCTCCAGCGTGGCCTCCAGGTAATCCCGGACATCCCGCATATGAGCCTCATAGGCCTCCCAGTTCTTGTTCACTAACTCTGCAGCCTGAGAACACACAGACAGGCTCCACCAGTGACCATTGGACACCTCCCCCTGTGCACGGTCCCCAGGATGTGAGCCCAGCCTGGAACAGCCTCTGCAGTGCCAGGTCCCCTGTGTCCCCTCTCAGTGCCCTGTGCCATGGGAGCTGGGTGACTGTCAGGGCTGCAAACACACAGCAAGCGTGTCAAAGCAGCTCCTTCAACTGGCATCAGAAAGCCCCACCACCTTTCCCAGCTCACCCTCCCTCCCACATGTCCCAAGTTTGTCCCTTCTGATGACCAGGGAGCACAAGTGGCTGTCTCTGTGCTGGGTCTGCACCACTCATCCCGGACCATCCCAACTGACCTGGCCAAGGCCGGCAATCATCGGGGTGTTCTCAGTGCTGGAAGGGAACAGAGACCAGTGAGTTATTTCTCCTGACCAGAAACCCAACCCTGAGACACAGACATTCCCTCATGGGACACCTCATGGCTGGCAGGGGCTCCTGGGCACCTCTCTGAGGTGGTTGAGAAGGAGGCAGTTCCACCCTGAGGTTACACCCTTGGCAAAGCCTGAGCTCCAGGGAGTTTCCATGCATGGATCCATTTCCCTGCCATGCTGGGTCGCTCGCCCCAGCGCTGGCAGGTGACACAGCTGCCAGCTCAGCTCAGACAAGGCAGCCCATGTGGCTTGGCCACCAGCCAGGGGCCCAGCTCTCCAGGTAACCACCTGCCCCCTTACCCTGGCCGGAAACTCCTCTCCTGTCCCCCTCCAAAGAGCATGGGGTGCAGCGGGGTGGCAGTGCCAGGGCTGTGGATGTACAGCGCTCCAATCCGTGGGCCATGGAACTGTGGGGACAGCCACAGTGACCCTGAGGACACTGACAGCACTGGCAGTGCTTCCTGCCCTCCTGCCCAAATCTGAGTGCCCTCCAGTGCTGGCTCCTGCCCATCACACAGGCAAATCCATTACAGAGCTGCTCCCCATGCTCCGTCTCCTGCCCCCCAGCCCAGACAGCATCCACAGGAGTGAAGTCTGTCTGCAGAGCACCACCCAGCAGGAGAACTTTGGTTACTGTGAGGTACCAAGCTGCGCGGGACACCCCAAGTACCCCTGGCACCCCAGCAGAGATGTCACACAGGGTGATCAGCAGCTGGGCCACACGAGCGGGGCCACACCTTGTGTCCCACGATGGTCAGGTAGTCCACGCCCAGCTCCTGCACGTCCACGCGCCCTTTGCCAATCATCTGCGCTGCATCCGTGTGCACCAGGATCCTGGGCAGAGCCTCGGCCGCTCTGCGCCGGTTCAGGGCACGGATGCGCTGGCTCAGCTCTGCCACGGGCTGGGGGCAGGGATGAGGGGCTGCATCCCAGGCACCTCCTGCTCCCTCTGTCACCGCCTCTTCGCGAGGGCATCTCCGCCCCGTGCCCCTCTCTGCCCGCACTCACCATGATGACCCCGGTCTCGTTATTGGCCAGCATGAGGGACACCAGGCAGGTGTTTGGCTGGATGGCGGCCAGGACATCGTCCACCTCTGCCTGCCCGCTCCGTGGGGACACAGGCACAAAGGTGGCTTCTGCAGGCCAAGAGACAAGCCCTGAGGCTGGCTGGGTAGGATGTGAGGCTCAGGGCTGCATGCGCCCCACTGAGCAGGGCAGGAGTGTGTGGGCGGTGGGAGCACAGGCACAGAGCAGGGAGGTGACACATCTAGCCTGGGGCAACATGGGCACCCACCGGGAGAAATGGTGCCCTTCTCCAGGGGGAGAAAGTGGAACATCACAGAGCATGCAGGATCTTACCCTCCTCCGAAAACACCAGCAGAGACAAGTCCCCTATTCAAACCTCATCTGTGCCTGTGCCACTCACCTGCCAGGCCCTCCCTCCCCAGCTGCTCCAGCGGCAGGCGGATGGAGTCGTGCTCTACGCTTGACGTCACGATGTGCGGTATGCCCCGGCTGTCCCCCGTCCCACGCTGGCTGTCGTGGAAGTGCCTGCAGGCAGTGTGGATCACCATGTTGTTCGCCTGAAGAGAGGAAGTGGAGAAGGAGAGGGAAAATGGAGGCTCAGAAGCAGCACAGTGTCCTTCATCCCTACCCTCCTCATTGCTGCTTGCTGGAGGGAGGGGGGGTGGGTGGGCAGGGATTCCCAAGAAGGGAGGCCGCCCCTGCTCCCACCTCCGTGCCACCTGAGGTGAAGACGATGTCCTCGGGGCGGCCTCCTAGCATCTTCGCCAGGCTCTCCCGTGCGCTGCCGATGAGCTCCTTCGCCTTGCTGCCTGCAGGACCAGATCCAGCAGCTC